CGCCGCACCGGGGCTCGGGCAGCGCAGCGCCTCGAGGTGGCCGGGGCTCCGTTAAGGCCACTCCTCTGCGGCGAAGGGAACGTGGCCTCCTCGAGTCCCGGTTCTCTGATGGGTCTCCTGCCGCGGGCCGGTCAGGGTAGCTCTTCGCCTTCCCTCGGGGGCTGGGCTGCACCGGCGGGGGGGTCAGCAATCAGCTGAACGCCTGTGTCATTAAGGATATCATAGAGTGGTTTGCATTGGAAGGAACCTTAAAAACCATCCAGTTCAACCCCCCCTTGCTCAAAGCTCCATCCAACCTGGCCTTGAACGCCTCCAGGGACGGGGCAGCCACAGCTCCTCTGGGCAACCTGCCCCAGGGGATCACCACCTGCACAGAAGAGAATTTCTTCCTCAGATCTCATCTCAATCTCCCCTCTTTCAGTGTCAAACCGTTCCCCTTCGTCCCATAGCTCCCCTCCCTCATCCAGAGTCCCTCCCCAGCTCTCCTGGAGCCCCTTTAGGCACTGGAAGGGGCTCTGAGCTCTCCCCTTTTCGACTTCTCTTTTCCAGGCTGAACCCCCCCAACTCTCCCAGCCTGTCCTCCCAGCAGAGGGGCTCCAGCCCTCCCAGCATCTCCGGGGCCTCCTCTGGCCCCGCTCCAACAGCTCCGTGTCCTTCTGCTGGTGGGACCCCCCGAGCTGGAGGCAGCACTGCGGGGGTGAATCCCCAGAGAAGAGGGGCAGATATGTTGTGGTTCAAATGTGTAAGGGTGTAGTATTGTTTTCTTGCCTGTCCAGTTAAGAAGCCAGATTTTCAGTTCTCAATAAGGGAGCCCAGAGGCAGGTTTGTGGTGCTGCAGCTGTTCAGAACTAGGCTCGTTTGTGAAGCACAGAAAGCTCTCCTTTCCCTTGGCTGCTGCCGCTGCCGCCCTTCCCCAAGACACTGAATGGAAAACCTGCGCCTGGGAGAGGATGTACGGTCAGGAACATCCTCATTTTCTGGGAGTCTAGACTGAGAGATAATGAATGGATTTTTTCACCCAGCTCCCTGAAACTTGGCAGTCATTGACAGAACGAGGGAACTGTCTCGCTTTGCTCACTGGTGGAGGGAAGCAAAAATAAAGCAAGTCTTGTCTAAGCACAAAGCAGCACATTCCAGAAAGCTGCTCGTGAGCCTTTCTTCTTCATGGCCAGTCATTTTCTTGTAGCCTTACGTTAGAGAATTGATATCGTGTTCTGAGGCATTTGAAGCGAGTAGTATGCGCTGAGCTTAGTGGACATCTATAATCCATTTCGTAATTATAGTAGTGAAATACTCACCTTGGTGTGCTAATGCATTGGAGCAGAAGTGAGCCACCTCTAGCTGTGACTGCAACAGCTTTGACTGTGAATTTCAGAGATGTCTTTCCACGTTTCAGTAAAGCCCGTCATTTGCCCGTGCCATGAGGAACACTGGGCGGTATGAGAATTCTGAAGGGAGGTGTTGCTATTGCAGCCCTTCGGAGGAAGGGAGTCTGGCCTTCCTCTCTGCAGGTGGTATCCCAGGACCTTCCCTTGGTCATTCTGAAACGGAGACGAGGCCTTTCTTCACTAGGAACTCGGTCTTGAACTGTTTCGACTGCTTTATTCCTCTCTTTCTATGCAGGGAGTCACGAAGGAAAACACCTGTGGCTGTTTCTTTGAAGGAGAATGAGCGGCTCTTTGGTGATAGCGCACTAGGAATGGTAAGAGTTCTTGTTTCTCATCGCGCCATCTGCGGTTTCTGTACCCAGAAGATACGCTCCCTCTGCTGGGTCCTTCGTGCTAAATGTCTGAGCTAGGAAGTTTTATTTCTTGTCCTGTACTTCTCATCTCCTTGGTGTGCTACTGGCTTTCCCTACTGGCTCTTTGTGTACTGGGGTGGTGCTCCTAACCCCTATAACAAGAGCCGTTCGCCACATAGCTCGGGAGAGGTTTCTTTGACAACAGACAAGCCGAAGAAATGCAGCTGGGTGATGTGCTTTTCCTTTCTGCAGTCCATAAGGACCCCCAAGGTGGCATTCAGATACTTTCAGGACCTGCTGGGTAAGCGTATCGATAACCCCCACGTGGCACTGTACCAATCCCGGTTCCCAGAGCACGAACTGGTGAAGGATGAGAAAAGGCAGACCGTTATCTTCAAGCTGTCCCAGTAAGTGGCTGCTTCTGGGTTCTTTGTGGAAGGGACTTTGGCTACCAACTTGTATTGTTGCTGCAGTTTTCTTTCCTGCCTGTTTCTCGTAGAACGATACAGTATTCTCCGGAGGAGATGCTGGGGATGGTCCTGAACTATTCACGTGGTCTGGCTGAGGAATTTGCAGGTTGGAAGGATTTAACTGTTTCTTACGGAATCTGGGTGCGATTCAAGTAGAGACTGGAGGTGTTTGAAAGCCCGCAGATTTTTAGAAACACTATGTTGGGTCTCTTGAGCTGTGGGCTGTAAGCAAGACTGAGCGGCTATCAAGCCCTCATTTATTTCTATTATGATGCGAGTCTGGGGTCTCAATCCTATTCTCGGCGGCAGGCACCCCAGATCCCACCCAACCTTGCAGTGAAGAAGCCTTACTGGCAACCTCTGGAGAAAGAGTAAAGTGTTTTCTCGCTCACGTGTGTGACTAGAGCAGAGGTACATTGGCAGGTAACTGCAGGGGAAGATGGAAGCGGCTCTGTTGAAGTCTGTGTTGTAACCGGTCTGGATGGAGCTGAGCTACAATTAAAGAGCAAAACCTGCCCTCTGCTGTGAAACTTGCTACCAGATAAGAGACCGTCATGCGTTTTCCATGCTGTGTTGCTAGTGAAATACAGCAGTAATGAAAACTGGGTGAATTTCGTGGATGTATTTGACTTATGAGGAGGCTGCGTGGTGTTTGGTTAGTCATGCTAAAGCCAGTCCGAAGGCTTTTTGCTCTGGAGAGAGAGTGTAATCCAGTGATAAAGTCAGTCTCCGTGAAGATAACGTTTCTTGAAATCTAAGGTATCCCAGAGAATGTGAGAGGTCAGTAGACATGTGGCTTTGTGAGAACCTGCAAAGACTGCTTGGTTTCAACAGGACACTGATAGTTTCGCCCCTAATGATCCTGGCTGCTGATGCTGCTTCAGGATTACATTCTGTACGAGTCTTTACCTTGGATTCTCTGGCTTGGCTGCTGTCACCCCTTTATAATGAGTCTTTGCACGTGGCTACACTGATGTGAAAACATGTTCCCTGCAACTCTTTCAGAGCAGCCCATCAAGGACGCGGTGATCACCGTTCCTGCCTACTTCAACCAGGCGGAAAGGAGGGCAGTTCTGCACGCCGCTCGCATGGCCGACTTGAAGGTGCTGCAGCTGATCAATGATAACACTGCCGTAGCCTTGAACTATGGAGTTTTTCGGAGGAAAGACATCAACGCCACTGCGCAGGTAGGTGCAGCTGGGAGGTGCGGAGAGTCCCGTGCAAGTGCTTGCATGCGGGGGAGAAAGTGCTGCAGATAAAATCAAAAGGACTTAACTCTGAGGAAGTGGACTCTGCTAGTCAACCGGTCTCCTCTGGTTTTGCATCTTCATCAACAAGAGCAAGAGAGGAAACCCTGTGTGACTACGTGGTGAAGCCTGAAAGCTTCTGGAGCGAGCGCAGGTGGCTGGGAGTTCCCATTTTGTAAACCTGTGCTTGTTCCTTGCCCATCAACTCGGGGCTGGGGTGGGGGGGAATAACATTAGCCATTTTCTAAGGTACTAGAAGACCGACTCTGAAATACTTGATTTTCCTGAGGTTGAAGTAACTTTTAAAGCACAAAGCTTTGTTTTCTGATCTATGAAATGGGTGAAAAAAGTTTTCTTGTCCGCTTGTGTCAAGTGTGACCCGAACACCTCCTGTGTTTGACCAAAGTACGAGTCCTGCTATTATGGTATGAAGCCAGGCTAGGGAGCG